ATCTATCCTTCTTGGGAGCTGGACATGCTTCCTTGGGAACTGGGCAGTATTGTCTGGGGCCCGAGATGCGGTGTGACTCAGAGTCATTGGCAGGATTTCCCAGCGACCCAAGAGATTCCCAGTGCGCAGGGAGAAGGAGTCTCGGGTCTGTGGCCACTTGGCTTCTGGCTGCCCGGCCTGGTTTGGAACGCACCACGGTGGCCTCTGAAATTCTGACCACGTGAGCTCAGGCCTGAGTCAAGGCATCAGGGGAGGAGGAGGGGTGGAGAGATGATGTCACTGCTGTGAGCTCATCCCCTGGGTGGCCACTGCTCCCTGCTGTCCCTTTCCCAAACCCCGCAGCAGGAACGCACCCCTCAAAAGAGAAAGAACCAGAACCTGGGGTGGTGGTGGCGGGGAACGAGTGTGGGAACAGCTCCGTGTGACCCTGGAGAAACTTCCTTTGGCCCGGTTGACTCAGGGGGTGGAAGATGTGGCAGAGGGTCACATGTGCAGTGGTGTAACCCTCCCCAACCCCTCCTGCAGGATGCGGGTCCCCTGGGAGCACTGAGCTGGCAGATTGGGGCGTGGTGGGGGGGGGCGGCCGGGGATGAAGCTGTGCTTGGTGGTGCTGCCATCTGGTTTCAACGTCACAACCCTCCCATGGTAAGAGGGCTCAACTGAGGCCCAGAAACGGGCTGTCGCAGGTCCAGAGAAAGCCCTGCTGGGGCGGGAGTATCGTCTGCTCCGGATCTGACTCTTTCAGCCACTCTGAAGACAGACACAGACTTTGCCCCACTCTGGAACCTGGTGAGAGGTGCCCAGTCCCTGCAGGGAGCCGAGAGAAGGGACACCTGAGCTAGGGTCCCCCAGGATCCCCCACACCTCAGGTTTGGTTTGTTTTGTTTGGGGGCCACCCCTGGCAAGGCTCAGGGCTTACTCTTGTCTCTGCACTCAGGGATCTCTCCTGGCAGTGCTCCGCGACCCAGTGGGGTACCAGGGATAGAACCAGGGTCAGTTTCACGTGAGGCAAGCTCTCCCTGCGGTACTGCCCTCCAGCCTCCCACCCCCCACCCCCACCGCAGTTTTGAGCAGCTGCCCCCTCTGTCCCCCTCACAATGGTTGGGAATGAGACCCTCCTGTGCAGTTCTGAGGCCTCTGCGCAGGAGGCTTCCCAGGCTGGAGAGGGGGTGAACGCAGGGTTCGCTGGGAGCCCTGGAGTAGGCACAGGCTGCCTCTGGGACGTGTGTTGTGGGAGGCCCTGTCCTAGGGGACCAGACGGCGGCAGGGGCGGTAGGAGCTGCTGTCGGGGACCCAAGGGGCGGAGAACTGCCAGGATGAGCTGGATTCTGGGTGGGGGAAGCCCAGCAGGTTCGGACTGGGGGATGCTGGTGTGGATCCACGTGGGAAGAGGGGTCCCAGGAGGGGTCCCAGGAGCCCCCCCCCTCCCCCCAGAGTTCTTGGCTGGGGGAAATGGGGACTCTGTGCACAGTACACCTGATAGCCACAGTGATAATTGTCAACAGTGCCTGGGCTCTAGATGGTTCCTCCCCTCCCCCTCACCCCCAACCCCCGTGCTCTCTGTACAGGATGTTGATTCTGTCACTGTTTTGCGGCCCTTGAGGGATAGGGGCGCTGCTGTGGAGAGTGCCAAGTGGCATCGGGGCGAGGCAGAGCACTGGTGCCCCTTGAGGCCCCAAGGCTTGTGTGCAGGCTTTACCTGGGAACCCTCCACCCAGCCCCTCCCGCCCCTGAGCCCCAGCTGTGCCTGTGACAGGTGAGGAAGCCTAGTGCTGGGGCTCTGTTCCCCGTAGGTGGGGCAGACTTGGGCACAGGTACCACCGCACCAGGTAAGCTCCAGGAAGCCTCCACTCTGGGCACCAGGGGAGGCAGCTGTGACCTAGGGAACCCCCCCGCAAAGCCAGCGAGGTCTGAGGCTTAGGAGGAGAGGGGTGAGTTGGGTGGGTCTGGGACGAGCCTCCCTCGGAACAGGAAACGACAGAGGGCAGAAGCCCCAAGAAAGTAGGGCAGTCTTTCTGCGGGGGCGTGGAGGCATCTGGGAGCACTGGGGGGCGCAGAGGGAGCAGTGCAGGCTGTGTGCCTGAGGCCGGCCTGGCCCTGACCCAGGGTTGACTCTCTGGCTTGCTTGCAGGCCCTCTTAGGCTTCCTCCCACTCCCTGCCCCGTGACTGCACCAGGGAAGCAGGCGGGAGGGAGTCCCTGGAGTGTGGAAAGGAGGGCCCCAAACGGAGTCGGGTCCAGGACCCTTGACACCAAAGCGGCTTGACGTGTCCCAGGGTTCCGTGCCTTCCATGGTGTGTGCATGCATGTATGTGTGGGTGGATGGGTGCACGTGTACATGTGTACATGCATATGAATATGTGTACATGTGAGTTTGTGAGGGCTGGAGTAATAGCACAGCGGGTAGGGCGTTTGCCTTGCACGCAGCCAACATGGCCGACCCAAGTTCGATTCCTCCGCCCCTCTCGGAGAGCCCGGCAAGCTACTGAGAGTATCTCGCC